TGAGTTTAAAAAATAATATTTTCATTTAAGCCGCAATTAGTTTGGAATCCCTAATGAAATTTTTCATTTATTTTTTAAAATTATTCTTTAAAAGATTATCAAAAAACTTTTTACCACCGCACGTCACAACTTTTTTAATTAGAGAAGTAGCAAATTAATGCGCAATTTACTAAGTATGAGTTACAAACAAGGCTATAATACCAAGAAATTAAAAAAAAAGTGATTTACATACCACAGTTTTCCCGAAATTAAATGCTTTCGTTACCGTTAAATCGTTAACAGAATGCATTAAACGTTAGCAAGCAGCCATTTTGAAATTAACATTTACGTGTAAAAATGTTATTAATTATTAATAATAATATTATTATTTCATTTCGATAACATAGCGCCGAAACGAAACAGAAGCACGTCCTTTTTATGAAATTTTCCATCGACAAATCGCAAAATGGCTGTTGTCTGCCCTCAACAGCTTCACAAATTCCATTTTTGACGCCTTGAATCGACGTTGGCTTATTTGCGTAGACCTTATCTTACACGTGGCGTCAAAGGAAGAAGTCGCAAGGTGTTAAATCACAAGATCTCGGTGGCCACATTTTCAATAGATAATACGGCCCGGAAACTTTTCACTTATAATATCGATGGTTTCATTGCTTTTGTGGCCGTTGTGCCGTCCTGTTGAAAGTCCAGATCAATACTATCCAATTCCAGTCGTAAAAAATTATCTGATTATATTCATTTCATTTTCGAAAAGAAAATAAGGTCCAATGACACAGCCAGACCATAAACCGCATTACATTTTAAATACACAATCAGCAAAGTCTGTGTAATGTCCAATTCCAAAGAACAACGTGCAAACCAGAGTTTCCTTCAACACTTCGGGCAGCAGCAGCAATATTCTCAGCTGTTCTTAAGCCACGGGCACGTGTTTTATTCTTCTCATCTCTCACTTGTTCCAACAGCTCCATTTTTTTCAACAATTTCTGTAGTGTGGTCTGAAAAGGAGATATTATTTTTACGCATAGAGAATTTTAATAATTTGAATGCGTTCCAATTTTAATACTGGCGTAGTTTTTACTTGTCAAATGTCAAAAAAATTCAGCTTGAAAAGTGACATCTGCCGTAATAGCAAGCTGTTCCTATAAGTTAACAATCATTTATTTCAATAAATTGAATATTTTATTCAAAAAATTTTTCTATAATTTTTCGATTTGGTGTAACCAGCACTCGAACCTTGGCCCTCCGAATGGCATACCCACTGTTAACTACTCGCCTATTGCTGCCGCTTTTAGTTATATGCAGAACTGAAAATATTATTTGAATCTCTTCTAAATTCAAAAAAATAATAATATAATTTAACACCTCTCCTTCGCACAATCAAGTTTGTCTTCCTTACCTCAATTAAATTTAATTCTTTTTAACGCAAAAAATCGACCACAGCTGCTGCTTTACATGTGAATCACCCCATAAAGAGACTAACATTCTTTAATAAATAGGTAAAATAGTACGGCTAATATAAGTACATAGTATGTTTGCACTTGTATACATATGTATGTACATATATGTATTTTGACTTCCCAATGAACAAATTTTGTGTTGCGTAACCCTTTGTGACGTGATCGCCTAAACACACGCCCACCAACACGATTTGAGTTGCCCGATGTTTGTGTTATTATTAATTTATATACTTGCCAGCGTAAATATAGCAACTGGCTGGTTGTCCTTGCTGATGGCGGTGAATGTTCTTGAGTTAGTATTGGCGATTTGATTTTATTTTTTTTTTGTGTTTCACTCGTTTGCCCCTGACTTCTACTACAAATTTAAAAATATTAAAGAAAAGAAAAACAATTTCCATTAAAATACATACATATATGCAAGAGTACGTATATACATACAATATATATATATATATATATATATATATATACAAACCTGTATGGTGTGTATGAAATCTCATTTGCTATCACAACAACAGTAGCAGGCGTCAATAGATATGCACATCTAATAGATAGGTATGTTTGTACTGTATATAATTTCTACTATTCACTATAGTTGTCACGCGCTGTATGTATAAAACATACAGACATATATACACACGAATTCAAGTTAATAGAATGTGTGCTTATAATAAATAAATAGGGAAGAGCGAATTTTTCACACAAGTGATAACTAATGCGGCACAAATAAATTAATTATTAATACCGATGTATTGAAATTTAAATGTTTACATACGTGCATCTGTATTGATAAGTCATAATCACCTAAATCAAGTTATAAAAGTCAAAGCTCGATGCTATGACTTGTGATCACTAAAATGATCCAAATTGGTAGCTTTTGGCAAGTTTTAATTGTAACTGCAATGCAAAATAGTTAATAATTAATTGTGACTATGAAACTAAAATCGAACAATATTTTCTAATTTTTAATTGCACTGAAAATAATTAAAACTAAAATTCAGTATGAGATTTTCGTTAATTTTTATTATTAGCTATTTTCCTAATAATTTATTATTTTATGCTAAATATTTTCGATTGTTAATAAAATTAATTTCAAACACGCCATTGAAAATTAAGTTTATTTAATTCAATTAATTGTTACTAATTGGCATTTAATTAATTCTTTAATCATCAATTAACTCTAATTTTACATGAAAATTATTCATTGAAAAGAATTTTCAAATTCCATACTTCCTTAAAATATCACAATGTTGTTGTTGCTATGCTGAAATATTCACATACACATATGTACATATATATGTATGTATGTAATTTTGAGTACAATATATATTTTTATGAATATTTTTGTCTCACTGATTGAAAGTAATTGATTTGTGATTGAAAAAGTTGCCAGTCAATTAATGCGTAAAGTTGACCTTAATGAATAATTGTGGGAATTTATGCACATTGTATGCATATACATACATACATATATGCAGATACTCATACATTTACGCTCTATTGGGCAGCATATTTTTTGCAGGCAGGGAATTTCAGGCCCTAACATGAAATAAAGTCCTTGAAGTGATCAGTAGGTTCTTTCTTTTTTTGTAAAAACATAAAGACGCACCGCACAAGTTGGAGAGTTCAAAGTGGAATCAAGTCGCTCTATACCTGATCTCTTGAACGGAGTGGAGCTCTTCCTTAAAACGGAAGCGCTCTCTCTCTCCTTATTCACAGTACAATATCACTGTCGACATATTATTCGAATTGCTGATCATTCCATCGTCGCGCAAAGTCGCATAAATCCTTCGCATCACTCTTCTTATTCTGCTTTGCGTTTCAGTTGTAATTTTACATCTGAAGCTCATAATAGTCACCCAGTATTAAACCTCGCTTGGTACTGAACGGATTCTCCAAAGAAGCTGATGCATTCTGGGGATATCGATCATCAGATTACGACCTTGGTTCCTACACGCGTATGCTCAAGTTTTGAAACTTTCTGTCAGTTGCCGCATCTTTTCATAAAACTATAGGCCAGCTTCTCAAACTCTTCACAATGCCTAATTTCGGCCTCTTTTTTTTTGTCTGGCATTCTTCATCGTACCAGCTCTTTTTCTGGCACTATTGAAAACCAATTGTTTCAATTGCGGCGATGCGTAGGGTTTTTAAGATGCCCTTCCACATTACCCTGATGGGTGCACTCAGAAAGCAGGTATGTATGTCGATTAGAAAACCATTCGGTTGTCTGCTGTGATTGCAGTTTTCGACGTGTTTATTGATAGGCGTTCCTTGAAACAAATATCTTCCGTATATCACAACATTATCGATTTAGAGATTTTTCTTTATCCATCCTGGCGTAGACAGCACTCATAGGCGCGTTCTAGGTACTCATAGAAATCACAGTGTCAAGGGCACAAACCAGCGTTGTTTTCAAAAATTGACTTTGTTGCGAATTGTGGCGAGACGTTCATCAACTCGGCGACGGAATCTCCCCCCACCACAAATCCAGCGCCAAATTTGCGATGCTGTATATATGTATATATGTCACGAGAACCCACCTTATTTGGTTATTGTCCCGTCCATCACACTTCTTGAGCAGCGGTGATGTAAACCTTTAGTCTTAAGAGGAATCGAACTATCTGGGCACCTTGTTGATGTGACAAACAAAATTTGAAACTTTTATCCAATGTTCGAATTGTTCATAAGCCCATAAATTTTGTAATTCTCCCCCTCGCTCTTTAGATTTAACCAGTTGCTGATCTACTTAATTGCGATTTAACAAGTCAATTGAACCCTCGAAAATTATAAAATGACCATCATAACTTGACCAATTCAAATTCAACGTCTTCTTAGTTAGACATCAAACGAAGTTATGTAATTGATGTTTTTCATTAACAGTTCTCTCTTCTCTATTCGACGAAATAGGAACATTTCCGCGTTGTTTTCTTAGCTTTTTCCTTTAACGATACAATTTGAAGTCTGATATCTTATCAAGTCTCAGTAATTAAAATAGTCGAAGTTAATTTATGAACTACTACCATCAGAAAGCAATTATTAGTGAATGTAAAATATTTCGAAATAACCATTAGCAAAATTGAATTTTCTTTTACCTTTATGCCGTTAATGGAAATAATTTCCAAGCAAGAATGAAAAAAAAAAAAAATTAAAATCAGCTGAATGGAACTAGACTAAATCAAATAAATAAGTAAAAAAAAAAAACAAAACAGCAACAAAGTAATCAAACAAAGCATGTATGGTCCGTTATGCTCTGAGATTATTTATCGCTTCATAAGCATACATATGCCTTGCATAATTTCAGGCGCAAATAATCAAACTTTAATTTGTGAAGAAACAAACATTTACAGACCTTATGAACTATATACACATTCTTTTGAATATAAATCATTTTAGATTTATATTTAATTAAAGATGGAACCAATGAAATATTCGCATGAATATTATATAATATAACGCTAAAATAACTTTAAAGATAAATATATACAATAAAAATTATGAATAAAATGAAAATGTAATTTCTAATTCAATTTTTCGTCTATTTTTTAGAGTTTACACGTACACAGAAGAATAATAAATGCTCAAAATGGAAATGTAAGATTTAAACCTCAACAAAACTTTTTTTTTTTGAAAAAAGCACTAAACATCAGTTGTGTTTTCTTTACAGCGAGGTGGGGAATGCCTCGTCGCCCCCTTCAACATGCGGTGAAAACACAAAAAGTTTTTTCGCATTTCACTGGAAAGGTTTGGTAGTTTTCCTAACACCGCTTCTTGCTCTCCCCGTCATGTTATTGGACAACACACCAGTAAGTAAAAAACCCCACACTCATTCATACGAGTGTTTAGACGATTAAGAAATAAAAAAAATTGACGCACCATTTTTTTTTCTCAATTAACATTTTACTCATCTTTGCAGAAATCATTTGGGAATTTAAATAATATTATACCCTTACTATTATAGGCATATCGGTGCATGTATTTGCTCTTGGTCATGGCAATCTTCTGGGTTACTGAAGCTCTACCTCTGTACGTTACCTCAATGATTCCGATTGTGGCGTTTCCAATTATGGGCATAATGGTTTGTATAAACCAATAAATACTTTTCAATTATTTTATTATAATTTGCTAATTCTTCTCCATAGAGTTCCGATCAAACCTGTCGATTGTACTTCAAAGATACCTTGGTGATGTTCATGGGTGGCATTATGGTTGCACTGGCAGTCGAATACTCCAATTTACATAAGCGTTTGGCATTGCGTGTCATTCAGCTAGTTGGTTGCAGTCCCAGAAGGTAAGGTTTAAACATAATTACCTACACACATGCAAAAATATGAATACAACATTGGTTTTATTTAATTTTATATAAAATTTTCTTAATCTAAAGTCAAATATTGAGTGTGTAAATAAGGTTTTTCATTTTTATTTATTTATTTACAGATTACATTTTGGTCTTATCGCTGTAACAATGTTCATATCAATGTGGATATCCAATGCCGCCTGCACAGCTATGATGTGCCCAATTATACAAGCTGTTTTGGAAGAACTCCAAGCGGTAAAACAAATTAAAATGTCTTTAAAAAAGCAAAATAAAAGTGTTAATTAAAAAAATATTTATTTCGCTTCAACAGCAAGGATTATGTAAAATGACCCAAGAGCCCAAGTATCAGATTGTCGGAAAGAAAAATAATTCAACTGAGGAAGAGTAAGTGCACAATCACTTGAAGTTTGTCTTTAACAACATAAAAGAACCGAAATTGTATATATAGAAATGAGTTATGTTTGGTGGGCTGATGGGCAGTAGCAATTGTTGTCAATTTTCACTGAAGCGCGTTCGATGAGCCAAAAAATCTAGTGTAATTAGCACCGATAGAGCACAGTTTTGACATTTGTCTCCGCACAGAGCTATGTACATAGACATGTCACAATATTTAACAACACGGCTCATCCTACATTAAGCTATTATTTATACATATGAACTATTCAATAACTAGCAAATCAGAGCAAGGTAAAAAAGTTGTAATAAATCGAATGTAACAAATACCTGACTATGTCCTCTTCGGCCAAAATAAATTTTTGACAATTCTGTATAAAAATAAAAACGTTAAGTATTGTCAAGAGTTCGAGCCGATTCGAACAACGCTTGAATGTATGCTGAGCAATAATTCGATCATTTTATAATTCATATTCAATGCCCCCACTGTTTGTTCACTTCAATTAAATTGTTTTGTAGGAAATTAAAATCAAATTGTTTTTTTTTTTTTTTTTTTTTTTTTTTTTTTTTTTTTTTTTGACGAATCAAAATTAATAAAAAATCGCACAATAATAGATCTTGAGCATTCCTACAGACATATGCATGTATATATATTTTATTTAGGACTACGCCAAAACTGTTAAACGATCTTCATGAAATAAATTGTGTTCGGTTAGGCAAAAAGCCAGTAAAATTTCTCGCGTTGCAAATTTTACTAGTTTTGTGTCTCACAAAAAGCGTTTCGGTAAAATTCAGCAGCAATTGTTACTGTCCATCAGGTTCATCGCTAATTCTTATTTAAATTTTTACCGTGCTGAGCTATAGTTTTGTCTCCCTTCGAACGGCTGTTAGTGTTTTATGAGGGATTTGAGATTTACAATCGGAGTAGTTGATATAAGCTGCCTATGAACGACTGCAATAAGAAAAGTTTATTTAATTTTTTTCAATAATTTGGTCCCGTCAAGTTTCGGGCAAATGGAACTCAGCTCGCTAATGGTTTTACATATTTATTCTTAAATTCATTCGTGTGTGAAAGTTTCGGCGATTAGATGGGCAATAACAATTGTTACTGAATTTTGCTGAATCGCGTTCGTTGAGCCAAGACCTCAGTAAAATGATTAACGAGAGAGCGCAAGTACGTTACGAATTCATGCTGGAAAAATTTCAGCCAGTAAAAAGTAGCATATTAGAAATATTTAACATTTTTATATAAATGAGAAATTACCAAAATAAGAGCCCAAATATAATTTTACTAAAATAAATTTAAAGACAACAACTATTCAACTAAAAAGTTAAGGTTCTCATTAACAAAACTACCGAATGTAGTGGCAGTATTGTGGGATCATCGTCCGCATACTACCGATCCCACGTGATGAATTAGAAGTTAGGAATATTGAAGGCATAGTATAATAATCAGTATAAATTATTATTTTTAATACAACGCAAATTGAATTTGGAATTCATAATTTACTAAAAAGCGGTGGCTACCAAATGACCCACAAAACTTTGCGAAGCATTGTTGCTGCAACCGTCAGAGTGACGATAATGCATTCATTCTTAAGCTTCCAGAAGCGACGACGATGCACAAAATGAAATATTAGTGGCATTTGGAAGGAACAATAAACTCTTTCTTGGTTTTATTTCAACAGAATCGAATAAACTTTATAATAATGTTAAATTAATATGGCCAGTTTATACGGAAAATAAATTTCAAACTCATTTGCAATTCTCAGTCATCCTGAAAATTTAAACGATAAAGTTGGAAGTTTTACATCAATTTTCGACCATTGAGGACTAATAGAAAAACATATTTGTATCTTTATGAGTGGACGGCTATGAAACATGTAGAATTTCATTATTGTTGAAATACAAAAAAAAATTTTAAATACAATTAACAATTTAAAAAATGCTATAATTTTGTTAGAATAATTAGGAAAATACTTAAAAGCAGAAAAAATAAACTATAAGTAAAAAAAACTATGAAAAAGAAAATAAACGGATTCAAATTTAACCGCCATAATAAACAGCTGTTGTGTAACTTGCTGGCTAATTTTTTCGTTCGTTGAAAACTCAGTAAAACATCTTACTCTCTCAATTTCGTATTTGTTATTCTATGCCTTCAACATTCCTAATTCTTAATTCATCAATGTGGGCTGCATGATATGCGGTCGATGATTCTACTCCAGTGCACCACAATCTCATTTAACGAATACCTTAACTATTTAATAGTTGTTGTCTTTAAATTTATTTTAACAAAATTGCATTTAGGCATTAATTGTGTTTGTTTATTATTTAAAAAAAAAATATTAATATTATTTTCATTTTAAATAATTTTTGGTTTGTTGACAAATATTCAATATAAATTTTTTCACTTGCTAGTTTTTACTAACAGGCCCATTCTGTCTGAATGGTAAATTTTAATACCTAAGTAAATTTTGTTACCATTTCGTATTCTGAGCTCACTGTTACCCTGTAAATTTTGTTACCAGCGAAATAGGAGGTTACAAAAATATCTGCTGTTTGATTTTGTGTTGTAAGTTTGAGAAAAAATAAAAAACCAAAATGGGTTGGCATATTTTAGGCCTGGAATTCATTGAAGGTGAGGAAAAAATTGAAAAAAAACCGTATTTTAAGAAGTTTTCGAGACTAAAAAATAGCCCTTTAATTTGTAAAATAACGTTTTCATTCAGCTTTTTTTGTTGTCCAGGCATATTTTCCATAATTAGGTTCAAATATTTATGATTTAATAAACACATTAATAAAACTTTTTAATTTTTTTGTGCACCGTCTTCCATTTCGATGTGGATATTTTTCATTTTACTTTATCAACTGGCACAAGTACGAAAAATGCAGTGCTGCCAAATTTTTTTCAAACATTGCAACCAGTTCGCCAGAGTACCAAATTCAGTTACTTTGCCGGTAACAGTGAGAATAGGCCTGTAAGTCAAATTTTCCCAGCACAAATTCAAAACATCCTCTCCAACCTAAACGTCAAAACTTCGCTCTCTCGTTACCGATTCTACTGGGTTTTGGCTCAAAAACACGATTCAGCAAAGTTTGGTGAAACTTGTTACTGCCCATCTGATCAACGAACAGAAGTAATACTTTTCCAATTTATCATCACATTTTAGTTCTTGTAATCTTTATTATTTTATCTCATATACATATGTATTTAGTTCAACTCATGTAGAAATAATAAACTTAATAATATTATTAATTATTTCAACCTCTTTATTTATAACTTCCAGACCACCATATCCGTCCAAGATGACACTATGTTACTTTTTGGGCATCGCTTACGCCTCATCCATGGGTGGTTGTGGTACTATTATAGGAACAGCAACTAACTTAACTTTCAAAGGCATTTACGAAGGGTAAATAGTAAAACCCTTAAAAAGTTTCCACTCAAATATACTTAAAATTTGGATTTTTATAGCCGTTTTCCAAAATCTCAGGAAACAATGGACTTTGCCAATTTCATGTTCTACTCTGTTCCCTCAATGTTGGTGTACACTGGTTTGACCTTTATTTGGCTGCAATGGCACTTCATGGGATTATTCCGTCCAAAGAGCAAAGAAGCCGAGGAGGTCAGATTGGGTCAAAATGGTGCTGATGTGGCTAAAAAGGTTATTGATCAACGCTACAAGGAATTGGGACCAATGAAGGCGCACGAAATACAAGTTATGATTCTTTTCATCTTCATGGTGTTGATGTACTTTACACGTAAACCTGGCATTTTTCCCGGCTGGTCGGATTGGCTGGAAGGAGAAGAGTAATTAGAAATTTAAAACAATTCTTATTCAACTTCTCTTGATTAATTGAACATTTCAAAATTTCAGTGGGCCTAAAATTCGCAATTCTATGCCGACAATATTTGTGGTTGTCATGTGTTTTGTTTTACCAGCAAATTATGCATTCTTACGTTACTGTCTCTGCAAACGTGAGTCGGTTAATCTCATATGCTTAAGAATTTACTTAAAAATGTTTGTTTTTCATTTTAAAGGTCCCTTTACTACTGCTCCGACACCATCTCTGGTCACATGGAAATTCATTCAATCCAAAGTGCCATGGGGTCTGATCTTTTTACTCGGTAAGTTTGTTAACAACAATAAAAAGAAATAATAATCACAATTATTATACAAATTTATTTATTTATTTATTCTTTTCTTAGGTGGTGGATTCGCTCTTGCTGAAGGTAGCAAAGTTAGTGGTATGGCCAGTAAGATTGGCAAGGCATTGGTCGTGTTAGAGAATCTACCACACCCCCTTCTCTTACTGGTAGTTATTCTCGTGGCTGTTTTCTTGACGGCCTTCAGCTCCAACGTGGCCATTGCAAATATCATTATTCCTGTCTTGGCAGAAATGGTAATTTTATTTTAATTTTGAATGCAAATATATGTACATGAATTAAATATTTTCTCTTTCCAGTCGGTTATCATTCGAATTCATCCTTTGTACCTAATTTTACCAGCCGGTCTTGCCTGCAGTATGGCATTCCATTTGCCAGTGAGTACGCCGCCTAATGCTCTGGTCGCTGGTTATGCCAATATCAGATCGAAAGACATGGTAAGCTCTCATATTATACTTACTAAAACCGTAAACTGTAATTGTTTTTGTTTTCACTATATGTATATCAAATCGTTTCTGCGCAGGCAATCGCTGGCATTGGACCCACAATCATCAGTATCATAGTATTGTACGTGTTCAGTCTCACGTGGGGCACCGTTGTATATCCACAGTTGACTACATTCCCTGATTGGCTAAAAGAAACGGAACTTAATGCGACGACCCATTAAATGTATACACTGCCAATTAGGTGATTGCGTACGGAATTTACAGTGTGCGATATTTAATACATATCCAACATAATTAAAAATAATTAAGTCAAATATTCTGATTGTTAAAGTCGTTAAGTAAATGATAAAGTAAAAGTAAAGAGCAAAAAGTATCTAAAGAATGTTAATGATTACTACTGTATAAGATAAAGTGCCTGCATGACTATATGTTTTTATGTATATATAAATAAATATAAAAATGTACACATTATAATGGAAATCATAGGAATATCAAAAATTTTGCATTTGTGATTTAAACTCTCTGAAATTTACTTACAAAACACTTAAGCTACCGTAAAACAAGAATAGGCATAGAAATATGTATGTATGTACGTGTATATACAATATAAATGCACATATAGTTAACTAAAAGGGTACAACATCAAACAAAACAAACAAATTTGTGAGCCCTGATAATCTCGTATCAAATGTTACTTACGCGTTTACACTGCATTTATAGTGAAAAGGGAATAGTCAAATATAAAATTATGAAATCAAATGAAAATATACATTTATAGGTAGTATACATATGTATGTTTACATTTGAAAGAAACTAGATAAATAGTTTAGTTTAAAGTTATGTGTAGCGATTGACACTCTCGGAAACGAAACAAGAAAGCAAATGCACAATTTCTTATACACATCTGGGGCTAGAATCAAATATTGTCTATATAAATGTGTATTGTATATGTTTGTATGTAGGCTGTATATTCAAAAATAGACTGAAAAATTATATTAACCTCAAATTAAAAGTGAAGAGTGTATAACAACTAACTTTTGCGGTATTTGTTGTACCAAAAGGAAATCGCGTTAAAATTGAATTTTTTACATTACATTGTACTTATGGATCTTTGATAAAAAGTATAAATTTGTAACTCTTGTAAATGTTATTTATTGATACAGAAGATGAAGCAACAAATAAATACACAAAGCTAACTATTTTTCTAATTGCCTGTGGTTATATTTATTCATCCCTTGATAATGTTTTTTTTTTTCAATTAAAACGGTGTAGCGTATTTTTTTCCGCGGTAAGGCGCAGGTAAGACATGGGAGTGGCCAGAAAAGAAAGAACACCCGTGTGGAGGCGAGCTAAAGTGAGAAGGCGAGTACCATGCGGTTTACTTAAGGTTTGTAACCCACCACCTGAAAAACAAACTCCAATAAAAAAAACAATATGTGCTTTGTATGAGAGAACCCTCTATTGATGAGGACCCCACAAATGTGTTAAGGATTATGATTTGCGGGCATGCACCTGGAATGTCCGGTCCCTTAATTGGGAAGATGCCGCTGCCCTGTTGGTTGATGTCTCATTAAAATTGAAGGCTGACATTACCGCAGTCCACGAAGTGCGATGGACGGGACAAGGACGAAAGAAGGAGTGCAAATTTGGTGTCGGATTTGAGGTGGAAGAGAGACTCCGTCGCAGAGTACAGGAACTCACTCCGGTGGATGAACGTCTCGCCACAATTTCCATCAGAACAAAGTTTTTTAACACTACGCTGATTTGCGCCCCCGACTCGACGGAAGAGAAGAACGATGTGCCCAAGGATGCCTTTTATTAGCGCCTCGAGCATATTAATGAGCACTTGGCTCAACCAGATCGATCATATTGTAATATACGGAAGTCATGTATCTAGTGTTCTAGATGTGCGAACGTCTCGAAGTCGCAAGATCGACTCGGACCACTATAGCGTATATTAAAGAACGTTGGTCAACAAACACAAGGAGTGTTCGACGTCAAAAAGCTGCATTCACAAGAAACTGCTTTTCTACTCGGCGTGCACACCAGCTTTCTGAGAGCACTCATTAGCAGCTTGATATAAGGGACTCTGGAGCGGCTCCTCAAACTCCCTGCGTATCGCCGCTACGGAAACAATTGGTTTTAGGTAGTGCCAGAAGAAGAGCTGGTACGATGTCGAGCTGCAGTGGAAAGAAAACAGACTACTAGTGTGGCTTTAGACCTGGAAAATCAACCATTGACCAGATATTCACCATGCGCCAAATATTTAAGAAGAAGAAGGCTGGATAAGGAAGCGAAGCGAATGGGTCTGGTAGTAAACGAGGACTAGACGAAATATATCTCGTGTCATCGCACAAACAGTCAACGCATTCGCGAATCAGCTCCAACGTCACTGTTGCCAGTGTTAACTTTGAAGTCGTAGATAATTTCGTCTAGCTTGGAGCCAGTATTAATATAAACAACAAGGTCAACTTTGAAATCGAACGCAGGTGCTATTTTGGACTGAGTAGGCAATTTAAAAGTAAAGCTCTCTCTCGGCGAATGAAAACCAAACTCTATAAGTCGCTCATCATACCCGCACTGCTTTATGGCGCAGAAGCGTGGACAACGTCAACATCTGAACGATTTATAATCCTTTACGCCTTTGCTACGGCGAATATGGCGCAGACGATTGAACGATGAGCTGCACGAGCTTTAAAATGATAATGACATAGCTTAGCGAATGAAGACGCAGCGGCTACGCTGGCTAAGTTGGGTCGTTCAAATAGATGAAAGCACTCCAGCTTTGAAAGCATTCGATGCAGTACCTGCTAGTGGAAGCAGACACTCCTACGCACTCCTACGTTGACATTTGGGAGTTTTCGAGAGAAAAGTGATGAAGAATATTTATGGTCCCTTAAGTATGTACAGTGAAGTCTACAGAAGATGAAATGAAAAGCTCTGTGAAGCAAACGATATTGACATTGTGCAGCGAATTAAGATACAGCGGCTACGATGAATGAAAACACACCGGTTCTGATAACATACGATGCGGTACTCGTTAGTGGAAGTAGAGGAAGAGGGGACCTTCACTGCTTCACGGAATTCGGCTATAAAAATCAGTTTTGTGTTGTTCCGATTGCTTAGCATTATTAACTTATGAATTTATCTCGGCCTGTAAATGTAATTTCATCCTTCATCATTTGTAAGTTTAATGGCAGTTTGAAAGTGAGCTAAATTCGTTTGCTGCTCAAACGTTCAGCCAGCTGAGACGACATGCGTATGTATCTCCTAATATGACCCAAACTTTATATTGAACTTTGAAAATTAAACTGCGCACCCATTAAAGCACCTAATGACTTAAACTGAGTAGCTTGCGATTATTCCCTGAATCCACATTATCAAATAAAAATATTTTTGTAAGCTTTTTTAAATATCATTTTATTAAAAAATATAAAAAAACATATATTTGTGTGTATATCTAGAATAACTTGTTGCAATCCAAAAAATGATTTATTAAGATTTTAAGCACATAAAGGGCACTTGGCTTTTTTTTAATTATTCTCCATAATGAGACTGGCAAAAGTAAACCACTCATTCAGATTTCCTAATCTCCTTTGTCGTATCTTTTTTTCTCAACCTTAAAGCATTTCAATTTTATAAAAATCACATTCAAATCAATGAAAGCGCCAAAAAAAACTCTACTCAGTTAGCAGTTTCCAAACAACATCCCTCTAAGTGCTCAATAAGATAAAAACCCTCACCAAGTGGTTATTGTGTGTATTAACAATGCAAACATCGTGTAAAAGTGCAAAATGAATGAAATGTGAGTGCTTTAGTGGTTTAAATTTTGGCAGATTTAGCCAAGTTAAGGCCTTCGGTGAGCATTCTGCCAAAATCGGCATGAACCAAAGTAAAGTTCTTAACAGCACGTTCTTGAATGAATTGGCTGGCGTTGCTTAAACTGCCAACAATATTAGATACCAAACGTTGACGGGCCTTGTCATCCAAAACATAAACCCAAAAGTCGGTCACTTGGCTGTAGTTGTCTTCAGTAAATCCACTTGTGAAACGATAAACTTCACCCTGCACAGGGCAACACGGCATCAGACTCTTTGCACGAGCACTCTCATCTGGACCGGAGAATGAGTTGGGGAAATAATTAGGAGCACCACCTTGATTATCATTAACACGCATTGCACCATCGCGTTGATAATTCTTAACGCTAACGCGGTATGGACAATTAACGGGTATCTGCAAATAATTTGGCCCCAAACGGTGTCGGTGCGTATCAGAATAAGAGAAAAGACGACCCTGCAACATCTTATCAGGTGATGGTTCAATTCCTGGTACCAAATGCGCTGGACTGAAAGCGATTTGTTCCACTTCAGCAAAGTAATTGGCCGGATTACGATCGAGCACCATCTTGCCAAATTGTATGAGTGGAAAATCTTTGTGGCTCCACACCTTTGTTACATCAAATGGATTATATTTATATTTCTTAGCCTGGTCTAGAGTCATCACTTGAATATACCAAGTCCAACTTGGATAATTGCCATTCTTAATAGCATTAAACAAATCACGAGTGCTATAATCGGGATCAGTTGCGGACAGATCTTGTGCAACCTTAGTGTCAAGATTCTTAATACCTTGATCCGTTTTGTAATGGAACTTGGCGTAAACAGGCTCGCCTTTGCAATTCACCAACTTAAAAGTATGAGAGCCATAACCATTCATATGACGATAACCATCGGGTATGCCACGATCGCTGAATAAAAAGGATACCTAAAATAGAATTTAAGTAAATCAATTTAATAAAATACTCGCCTTTAAGGTTATATTTTTATATTTACCTGATGGGTACTTTCCGGTCGAAGAGTTAAGAAGTCCCAAAACATATCCGGATCTTTCAAGTGAGTTTGAGGATTACGTTTCTGGGTATGGATAAAGCTGGGGAACAAAATCGGATCGCGAATGAAGAATATAGGCGTATTGTTGCCCACCAGATCCCAAATACCGTCTTCAGTGTAAAATTTAACAGCAAAACCACGTGGATCACGAACAGTATCGGCAGATCCACTTTCGCCACCTACAGTAGAAAAACGTACTGCTACTGGTGTACGTTTATGCACCTTTTCGAACACCTTTGCAGCAGAGTATTTCGTAATATCATGGGTTACTTCGAAATAACCAAAAGCACCAGCACCCTTAGCATGGACGACACGTTCAGGGATGCGCTCACGATCGAATGCAGCCATTTCATCCAGAAACTTAACATCCTGCAACAAGACCGGACCTCTTGGCCCAACAGTTAGCGTAGCATCCTTAATGCCAACTGGATTGCCAGATCCTGTGGTAATAGTGCCTGGTGGTGTCTAAAATTTAATAAAAAAAATCATTCATTTATTTATTTATTATTTATTATATAATTATAAAACTTTTAAATAACATTTTTAAAAATTATGTTTGAATTTCACTTTTTGGACATATCTTTGAAGAAGATGAAACATTTCAACTTCAAGGCACAAAAAAAAAAGTTTAATATTTGTTATCTCCTTACAAATAATTTCATATTGAAGGGTTCTAAGAAAATTACATGAAACTACACCCATCACCAGAGATTTTTTTTATATAGGTTTTTAGATAGAGGAAGATCTTTGTAATTTTTTATAATTTTTTCTATGCTTCGGCTGAACACCTGGTGCGTTTTAATGAGGAACTCCAGCAATACACTTGTAGTGGTTGCTAAGCCCTGTCGAGGGATGACCGCAATTTAAAAAAGGTGCGAGCCCATGACGCACACTCCTTAAAACTCGACAAATGAGACCCCAGACATTTTTTTACACAAGCAAAAATTAACTGTTTTATATTTTAGGGGCAAAAAGTGGAACGCAATGAATATGATTCGTTTTTGAAGCAAATTATAATTGGAGATGAAAAATGGATTGTTTACAATAACGTCAATCGCCAAGCATGATGAAGCGCTACTTCAAACGCTGATATAAATAAAAGAAGATTATGCTGTCAGTTTGGTGGTATTGGAAAGATGTGGTACAATTGGACATGCTTCCAAGGAACCAAACGATTAATTCGGATGTCTACTGTGAACAACGGCACAAATTGAATACACCGATCAACGAGAAGTGCCCGGAATTGGTCAAACGTAAAAGCGTCATATTCCATCACGACAATGTTGGACTGCACACATCTTTGGTCACTCGCCAAAAACTAAAGGAGTTTGGCTGGGAACTGTTCTTGCATCCACCATATAGTCCTGTCCTTGCACATTCAGACTACCATTTATTTCGCTCTTTGCAGAAATCAATAAATGGTAAAACTTTCGTAAATGACGAGGCTATAAAATCGCACTTGCTTCAGTATTTTGTAGATAAAGTCCCAAAGCACTCTAAGTGTGGAGCAATGGTGTTGCCGGAAAGATGGCGAACTATCATCCAATAAAATGGAAATTATGTAATTGATTAAAGTTTATTATCGCCGGTTTCTTCAGGGCAACCAATATAAGTAAACATTGCAAACAATTCTTCATATAGGGGAAGTATATTACTTTTAATGAAATACCATAAATTTGATATGTTTACGGAAGGTATAAGAGAGACGAAAGGATATAGTCGAAGACAGCTCTCATTTAACTACTTAGCCATGGAAATTGATGCACGAAATCAAATATCGAAGCAATACTCTGATATCGACGCTTCTCATTATCAATATTTAATGCATTACCGATCTCATATTCTCATATGTTTAGTTTTAAGAATTTCGGATCGTACGAAAACATACATCAGATTAATGTGATATTTGAAACTTTGTCACTGCTTCACTGATTAATATATTACAAAAGCATTTCTGCATATCGAAAATTCAATGATATACCTCAAAACTTGTTGGACTAGTTTGGATTCAAACAGATGGACTTGGGTAGATCAACTTGGATCGTTGTAATTTTTAACGAATCTGTATTTTCTTACGGTGCTTATATACTTTAGATCAAAGTTTACAATACAGTGTCGTTAATAATTCATTTTATGTACAATGTTGTTACACTGAAGGGCCATGATCATGAATATAATTAAATCATACATACGAGGTGTGTTGGTACTCATGTCTGTCACTCATGCCGACAAGCTCGGCCATTTTAAATGTTCACTTAATTGTTGACTGCTGCTTTGCTTGGTGATGGTCTTCGATTTTTACCTATTCATAAAAATGGATCAAAGAAATTTTTTTGTGAAAAAACGAAATTAAGTGCGCGGATGCATTCTGAATGTTGACTGTGGCATACGGAGAAGCTACCTTGGACCGAAGCAACGTTTATAGGTGGTACAAAATTTTCTCACAAGGCCAAGAAGATGTGAACGACGAAGAGCGTGCCGGACGCCCGAGCACTTCAACAACAGACGANAGAAATCTTTTACATAAACGCCGATAATGTTGGCCTTAACTGAACGACGATAAGCGTGCCGGACGCCCGAGCACTTCAACAACAGACGAAAAATTAATTGCAGGGGCGTGGAGCATCATGAGTACTTGCCACAGGGTAGAACGGTCAATAAGGAATATTACCTGCAAGTTATGGGCAATTTGCGCGAAACAATCCGCCAGAAACGCTCGGATTTGTGGAAGAACAAAATTTGGCTTTTGTACCATGGTTACGCCCCTGCTCACACATCGTCGCTTGTGCGCGACTTTTTGGCCAAAAACAACATACTAATGATGCCGCAGCCACCGTATTCCCCAGATCTGGCCCCCTGTGATACTGAAGAGGCCCATGAAAGGACGACGTTACGCTACGATTGACGCGATATAGACGGCATCGAAGGAGGAACTGAACAAGATAAAAAAATGATTTTTTGAAGTGCTTTGAAGATAGGAAAAACCGTTGGCCCAAGTGTATAATATCTCATGGGGATTACTTTGAAGCGGACAAAATACTCCTCCGTACTCCTCCTTCAATTTGTGATTTTGCGTCTTGAAGTTTTTTCAACAAATGGAGGGACCAACAGTTTATACTAAGCCGCCTTCGAACGGCGGAAGGTTGTTTATGAGGAGCCTTTATTGCATATCACAAATATACTCAGAGGAGTTGTAATTCCCTGCCGTGGGGCGAGCGTAAATATAAATTTTAGCTTATTTTTATATTCAAACTACAACTTTTGGATGTTGGCTATACCAGAATTTCAACCCTAGCCTTCTCAATGGCACTACGCAATGATAAACACTCGACTACCGCGGCCGCCTAATCATTAATCTGTTTTTACCTAAGAAAGTCTTAAATGAGAAGGCATATAAATAAATAAATATAACACAAAACCGAATAGTTAAGCCACCTACTGTAATTAATATGCACATTTTTAATTGTTATTCTATTATGTACATTGTATCTGTACTGAGTACTGAATGTTGTTATTTTCATATTCATATCAAATATTTTGTTTACACTGTCACGTCGTGTGATAAAGAGCATGGTGATAGTGCCCACGTACATATGTACATATGCATGTACATATATAATAAATATTCAGATAAGAGCAAAGCGATTTTTATTGCACACCTATAATTTAAGTAGCATGACATATGTATATGCGTTTATATGCATATGTATGTTTGTATGTACATATTTGCATATGTACATATGTATATAAATAGTGAGAATGCACTTATAAGTATGCCCCCCACGAAATTTCGTTAACTTTTTTATTGAAGTACATAGATACATATATATACTTGAAGTGAGTGTGTTAGCATGTATTTGTGCATGTTAATGCGTGGATAATATACATACATACATACACAAGTCCATGCAGTAAATTGTGTTATCTCGACTTGACTTTAGACCCTGCAACAGCTTTCACCGGTTCAAGGCTAATACAGCCTGCCAAGAATGTCTCTAAATAAGTAAAATGCTCTCCATATCAATTAAAAAATTTTTGATGTTTTTAAAATGGTTTGGAAGAAGTAATAAATCAATTCCACATTAAATTAAATCAGTATACATACACGTATATGGTTCTAATCAAAATAAAGAAGCACTGTTCACATTTTAAGTAAAGTTTATCAATATATTAGGTTAAGTAAGAAGTTCGTTCGGTTTTTTATTGATTTTTCAAAACATGATAACTTTGTGTACATTTGTCCGATTTAAGTCAGATATGCGCCGTTTTGTTCGTAACGAGATGCCAACTTTATTATACCCCTTTCTCGTGGAAGGCCAGACTTAAGCCATTTTCAAAATAAACGGCTCATATAAAAGTACTTGATCAAATAATTGCATAGGAGCATTACGTCATATCCGGCCATCGTTTACTTTTCGACCCTGACACAACACAAACATCAGACAAGGCTTAAAATATTATTTCACCTTAGTTAGCTAGTAGCTGATTCTATGTTTTTGTTGACTTTTCTTGATCGCGGAACCCGTTCAAGCGCACTTAGCCCTGCTGGGCCTTTATGACATCTATGGTGGGCCTGTGAAAAGCGGTTACTCTATACCTATTCATATATTCATACCATTTAGTTCGGTAAGACGTTTGAAAAAAAAAAGACGTATATGTAATCATCTACCAACTCTTCGATGTCCCGGCTTCTGCGATAGAAGTCATTACAGAAGTAACCTATTATCCTAACATGCGTCCACCTCAGACGGTTATGCTATGGAGATCCTGTTTAGAAAAAGTAAAGACGTTATTCTACTCTCTTACACCGCTCGTAGCTACCCGCCGCTATCTACTACTGGTCCTACTGGTACAGCCCATTCTTAGTATATACTTTGCCGAGGAAAGAGATATGCAGAATTTACCGCGGTTAGAACTATTTCCCTACTTCCACAATTCTCTAGGATGTTTTTGTGTCTGAGGACCCAAAATGCGAACAATTTCTGAAAACTTATTTGCACGGCATTGAAGAGACTCAATGGCGGCTTGGTTGTCAGAATATAGGTTAAGTAACTATTGAACGGTTTAGTAACCACGATACGGGTTCCATTATTGCAATTAGTTCTGCTTTCAAGACACTGTAGTGGCCAATTCAAGAAGTTTATTGCTCACATAGATTGCGTATCGTACTGAACCCAGGCTGCCGTCAAGTTTTGAGACGACCGTGAAGATGCCTACGGATCATTCATTACGAAAGTTAATAAAAACTGCTCACATCCTTCTTGTGTATAAAATCATTCATAGTATTAATGGTCTGAGTTAAGGAGTATGGAAAAATTTGTATTTGGTTTGTGTAGGCTTCAATTATTTTATGTTTCTGTACAGGCCCATTAAAACTCATATTCTATTCAATTGTAGAAACATAACTCCTTATTTGCTTCTTTTTTTATATCACTTTTCACTTGACCCTATTGCCAAAAAACAGC